TTTGTTTCTTCTTTTTTTATGTATTGCAATTTCTCGAATTATAGTTTGTTCCCAGTTTTCGATTTATAATTTTTCAAATTTCGATTTGAAATTTTCTATTTGCAGTTTTTCCTTTTCTTTATTTTTACAATTTTTTGATATTTCAATGTTCCGATTTTATAGTTTTTTGTTTTTTCAATTTCAGTTTTTTGTTTCCTCAATTTTTTGGTTTGCAATTTTTCAATTTTTCCTTATTTTCCTTCAATTTTACGACATGAAACTGAATAATGAGTTTTCATTGTCAATTTTTCAGTTTTTAGATTTTCCAACTTTTGGATGTTTCACTTTTTAGATTTTTTTATTTACAAATGCACGAGTCTTCAATTCTTCGATTTGTAATTTTTGTATTGGCGTTTTATTTTATTTCTTTTTTTATTTTTCGGTTTTTCAATGTCTGAATTTTTCAATTTTTAATTTCTATAATTTTTGGATTTGCAATTTTGCAATTTTTCATTTTTTTGTTGCTCTAATTTTACGACATGTGACAATTTTTCATTTTAAAATATTTTAATTACTCGATTTTTCATTTCTTAAATTTTTCGATCTGCAATAATTCTTCCAAATTTTGGTCTTTAATTTTTCGATTTTTTTAAATTTTCATTTCGTCAATTTTTCGCTTTGCGATTTTTTGTCCCGGTGTTTTATTCTCTATATTTTTTCTGTTTTTCGCTTTTCCTATGTTCTGATTTTATAATTTTCCTTTTTTCAATGTGAAATTTTTCCATTTTTGGAAATTTTCAATTTTTCATTTCTGCCATTTTTCATTTTTTTTATTATTTTGTTTCCTCAATTATATAACATGCAACTCTTCGAGTTTTCATTTTTAAATTTTTCAGTTTTTCGATTTTTTAATTTTTGGATGTTTCACTTTTTACTTTTTACAATTTTTCGATTTGCAATTTCACGAGTTTTTAAATTTTAATTTTTCAATTTTTCGATTTTTCATTTCTTCAGTTCTTCATTCGGTGTTTTATTTTCTTTATTTTTTGAATTTTTCGGTTTTCCAATGTTCTGATTTTACCGTTTTTCACTTTTTCAGTTTTTGGATTTTTAAATTTTTCAATTAGCAATTTTTCGATTTTTCATTTCTTCAATTTTTCGATTTGCTATTTTTCATTGAGGTGTTTTTTTTTGTTTTTTCAATTTCAGTTTTTCGTTTCTTCAATTTTTCGATTTGTAATTTTCCAATTTTTAATTGAAGGAATTTTACGGCATGCAATTGAATAATGAGTTTTCATTATCAATTTTTCAGCTTTTCGATTTTTTGATTTACAATTTCACGAGTCTTCAATTTTTCGATTTGCAATTTTTGTCTTGCTGTTTTATTTTCGGTTTTTTTAATTTTTCGGTTTTCCAATTGAGTTGTTCTGATTTTACAGTTTTTCATTTTTTCAGCGTGAAATTTTTTCAGATTTTGGATTTTTAAATTTTTCATTTCTTCAGTTTTTCGATTGGCTGTTCCAATGCTCTGATTTTACAATTTTTCTGTTTTCAATTTTTCGATTTTTAAGTTTTCTAATTTTCCGTTTTTTTCAATTTTAGAGTTTTTCGATATTCGAATTTTCAATTTTTGATTTGTATTTTTTCTAGTTTTCATTTTAAATGCACATATAGGTAATAATAATTACGATTTTTAAAATATTTCACTTTTTCAATTACAAGATTTTAAAGTTTTTTCATTTATTCAATTTTTCATTGTTTCAATTTTTAAGTTTTTAATTTTTCGATGTTTCAGTTTTATAGTTTTCGACTTTCCATAATTTTTCGATTTTCCAGTTTTTCGATTCAGTTAGGTTTTTTTTCTTTCCAATTTTTCGATTCATTAATTTTTTTTTGATTTTTAAGTTTCTCGGTTTTTAGTTTTTCAATGTTTCGACCTATCGTTTCTTCAGTGCTTCGATTTGCAATTTTCACATTTTCATTTTTTCAGTTTGAAAATTTTCAGTTTTCGGATTTTGAAATTTTTCGATTAAAATGTTTCGGTTTTCAGTTTCTCGATTTTTCAATTTTTTGTTTCTTCAGTTTTTGAGTTGCAATTTTGCTAGTTTTCATTTTTAATACATAGGTAATAATAATTATAATTTTTAAACTTTCACTTTTTCAATTTTACGGTTTTACAATTTTTCAGTTTTTCGATTCGGTTGGTTTTTTCTTCTTTCCAATTTTTTTTGTTTTTTAAGTTTATCGATTTTTAGTTTTTCAATGTTTCAGCCTTTCGTTTCGTCAGTGCTTTTATTTGCAATTTTATTTTTCAACTTTTAAATTTTTTCCGATTTCCAACTTTTCAATTTTTCAGTTTTTCGACTTTCCAACTTTTGGCTGTATCACTTTTCAGCTTTTGCAATTTTTAGATTCGCAGTCTCACAGATGTTAACTTTTAATTTTTCAATTTTTCAGTTCTTTAATTTTTCGATTTGCTATTTTTCGTTGCGGTATTTTGTTTTTTTTTTTTGGTTTTTCAATTTTTCGGTTTCCCAATCTGATTTTACAATTTTTCTTGTCGTCAATGTGAAATTTCTCAGTTTTTCGATTTTTAAATTTTTCGATTATTAATTTTTCGGTTTTCAATTTTTCGATTTTTCAGTTTTTTATTTGCTATTTTTTGTTGCGGTATTTTATTTTTTTTGGTTTTCAATTTTTCGGTTTTCCAATCATCTGATTTTACAATTTTTCCTGTTGTCAGTGTGAAATTTCTCAGTTTTTCGATTTTTAAATTTTTCGAAAATTAATTTTTCCGTTTTCAATTTTTCGATTTTTCAGTTTTTCATTTCTTCAATTCTTTACAATGCTACTTTTCGTTGCAGTGTTTTATTTTTTTTTTGTTTTTTCAATTTATCAGTTTTCCAATGTTCTGATTTTACAATTTTTCTTTTTTTCAGTGTGAAATTTTCCAGTTTTCGGGTTTTGAAATTTTTTGGATTAAAAGTGTTTCGGTTTTCAAATATTCAATTTTTCAATGTTTTGATTTTTTAATTTTTGACTTTTTTAAATTTCAGAGTTTTCAGTTTGTCGGATTTTCAATTTTTGGTTTCTTCAGTTTTTGATTTGCAATTTTTCTTTTCATTTATACGTAATAATAATTATAATTTTTAAACTATTTAATTTTTTCAATTTTACGGTTTCAGAATGTTTCCATTTAATCGTTTTTTAATTTTTCAATTTTTCGATGTTCAATGTTATAGGTTTTCCACATTACAATTTTGACGATTCCATAATTTTTCGATTTTCCAGTTTTGCGATTCGGTTAGTTTTTTTGTTTCCAATTTTTCATTTTTTATTTTTAAGTTTCTCGGTTTTCAGTTTTTCAATATTTCGATATTTCGTTTCTTTAGTACTTCAATTTGCAATTTTATTTTTTGACTTTTCACATTTTCCATTTTGGAATTCTTCGATTTTTCAGCTTTTCGAATAAAAAACAGTGGAAAAATTGCAAAACTGAAAACTCAAAAATAAAAAAATTAAAACTTTGAAATATCTAAAAATTTGAAAATAAAAACGTGAAAAATTGAAGAAACGGAAAATTCAAAAATCGAAAAAAACAATTTTTGTAAAATCGGAATATTGAAAATTAAAGAAATCGGAAAATCAGATAATTGCGAAATCCAAAAATTCAAAAATGGAAATTTTAAAAACTGCAAAACCGAGGAATTGAAAAGCCAAAAATTGAAAATTTGATAAATTGAAAAAACGAAAAATTATAAAATCGTAAGAAACATGAAAAAAATAAAGGAAGCGAAAAAACGAAAAATTGTAATACAAAATTGAGAAATTGAAAACTAAAAATCGGGAGAGTAAAGAAAAACATGAACTTCAAAAATTGTGGAAAAAAAATGAAAATTAGAAAATGAAAAACTGAAAAGTAAAAATTTGAAAAACTGATTAAACAAGAAATTATAAAATCGACAAAAACATGGAAAAAATAAAGGAATGAAAACCAAAAATTGTGATATAAAATTTAGAAAACGAAAATTAAATAATTGGGATATTAAAAAATTGTGGAAATAAAAAATTGTAGATAATATCGAAAAATGTATGAAAAAAGTAAAGTTGAAAAAACGAAAAACTATATCAAAAAAATGTAAAATCGTGGAAAAGGAAAAACGAAGAATTGGTCCAACGTAAATAAACCCAGGTTTTTCGAGAAATTATAAGATTTGATAATGTAATGCTTATAATTTAAAATAAATATATGTACCTAATGAATGTAAAGTAAATGCAAAGAAGCGTGCTACTAAAATAATAACAGTATTGTATTCCTAAAATTTCGGGAAAATGCAAAAAATCAATACAATAAATTGCCTCATACATTAATTTTTTAAACATCCTGTAAAAGTAATTTAAAATCTATGAGTGCATTGATAAACCACAAGTATAAAGTATATTATATTGCATATTTTAAAGAGGATATTATTCGGCAAAATTTTGAGATGACGTCGTCAATTTTTTTTTCTATGTGGGTAAACTAAAAAAAGTTTATTAAAATCATGATTACGATAAGCTTAAAACGGTTTTGCAATTTCAAAGTTATATAATTTTGATTTTTTCCAAAAATTTGGATGTCTAGAGTAAAAACTGAAGACGAATCCATAAATCACATTTTGTACAGCTGAAATAATATTTACTAATGTAATTTTTGGGGATAACGTAATTTTGTTGTTGGTGGGGTTGGTTCGTCAAGAAAACATAAAAGTAGCCCGTCGTAGGCTTAAAAAATACTTTTAGCTTACGCTCAGGAAGTAAAAATCGGACCAGGAACATAATTCGTAATTAGGTCATACTTTAATGTCTAAAAAAGAAAATTTACTGAAACCCAGTTTCTTTAATTTTAACCGACGCGACGTTAAAACTGTAAAGTTATTAATTATTATTATTTATTATACATCAAATAAAACTAGACTGACTTTTTTGTTTATATAAATCATTAAAATTAAAAAAAAACACGAAGCCACAATTTTCTATAGCCTCTCCGCACGCCGATAACTTTCACTATCTTCACCTGCTGCACCGTCGACCACGCCGTCTTCGCCAGAAAAACTCTCCACAAAAACCCGAGCCGAGGCGGCGTCGCAGGAGCCGCTCTTGTAAAGTCACCATTAAGCGCTATTACCAGAGAAAGTTTAAATTGTTATTACGCAGCGCCGATGCAATTTTTAATTTCGGCGGAGTTTCGGACTTTTCTTCGCTAATGATGATTGCGCGAAGAACGAATTTCTTCGCCGGCTGTAATCAATGGTGAGTGGATCTGCGGTAAAAAACGACGCAAGGTCGAGCCGCCAGCGATCATCCGAAGAAAGCGGGCGCGCCCATGGATCCAGAGGCGTAGCGGCGGCAAATTGCCCAAATCCGGGCGGTTACACAAGATGCTCGCTTTATGGGGCGGTTTGGCCGATCTAGATTAGGCACAGGATATGGTCGGGCGGCTATCTGGTGGGCAATCTGATCTGGAAAAGTCATAATTGAGGTGATGTAAGAAGTTGCATAAACGGTGGTTTTTATGGTAATTTTTGGATATTTATTTTTGGGTGACCAGTAGCTGGATTTTTCGTGGGTTTCTTGTTAACATAAGTTAAAAGTACAAGTGTTTTATTTTTCTTAAATTGTTTTGTAAGCCGCTCTAGGTTAGTAATTTTCGTCTATTTTTTTGTTTGTTTTGGTTTGAATGTGAGAACTGTCGCCTGGTGTCGGCGCCTATGGCGTTGCTTTCCATCTACACACTGCGCTAGTTCTGGCACGTGGATGGTTGATCATCCGAGTTCATCTCGAGCATTTTCGACTCATTTCACTTTTGAAGGACGGTAAATTCGAGTTGAAGGTCTAAGAAATCGAAAAGGAATTTAATGCACGTTGGTGAATTCGGGGAGCAGTGGCCGGGACGGTAATGTTCGAGAATGGCAGGAATTCGGAGATTTTAACGATAAGGCAAGGCGGATACCCAGTTTTCGATTTTACTTTGCGGGAGAAAATTGTGATGTTTGTAATTGTTTTTCTAATTGTTGTGTTTTGGTCGTAATAAAAAAAAACAAAGAAAGACGTGGAAGTCAGAAAAAGGAAATTGTGTAAGGTTGTTCAGAAACCTTCAGAAATCAATTCACAGAATGATTGCAACACAGCTCGTTAAAATAAATTATCAGATGTTGTTTGAAAAAATGATAAAAAAACTTGCTGCCAATCAAATAATAGAGCAAAGTGATTTTGTGAACGGCTACATCTGTACTGAACAAGATGAGATTCGGATAGACATACGAGGAAACATTCAGTTATATAACAAAAATTGTTATATACCTCAGTGTAGAGTTATATAGCTCGTTTTTTCCCTCATGAAAATTTCGATCCTTTTTCGACTATCCTCGAAAATTGGCTAAACACGTTTTTTATAGATCTCGACCTCAAGACTTTTATTTCCGGACTCAATTCTTGGAAAACCTTTACCGTTTTTCCAGAAGTGTTCAGATGAAATATGTCAAATTTTAGAATTAAAAAAAATTCAATTCCAAACCAAATTTTTGGAAATTCCTGCTTCAAGACCATAACAACTTTTTCGAATCGTTACGTCGACAACTTTATCGCAGAATTTTTTGTTTATTCTTAGTCACCTTTTTCAAAAGCTCAGTTTTTCCATATTCCCCACAATCGAAAATTTTGACCATATTCTAGCCAGTTTTGACAATTTCTTAACGAGATTTTTTTATAGATTTCGCCCTCAGGAAGTTACATTGGGCTTATTTTTTGGAAAAATCTTACCACTTTTCTAGAATGACCCATATATACGATATGTCAAGTTTTAGGATCTTTAAAAGAAAATTCCGTTCCAAACCTAATTTTTTATCCATACTTCCGGTTCAGAAATAAATAGAAATAAGGAGGCTATATTTTTCGAATCAGGATGTCGAGATCGATTTCCCAGAATTTTTTGTGAATTTTTACACAAATTTTTCAAGAGCTCTATTTTTTTCCCTTACGAAAATTTCGATTTTTTTTTTCAGCTATTTTCTAAAATTGGGTAAACAGCCTTTTTATCGATTTCGACCCCAGGAAGTTATTTTCGAATTCATTTCTTAGAAAACTCTTACCAATTGTCCAGAATTGCCCATTTAAAATATGTCACAACTTTTCTATATTTCCTCATGTTTAGGAAAATTTCGACCTTTTTTCGAAGACATTTGAAAATTTTCTAAAAAGATTTTTTATAGTAATTTCGATCTCAAGAAATTATTTTCGGACTTGTTTCTACGAAAACTAATGAATTTAAAAACTACCATTTGTAAAATCTTGCCCTTGTAACATGTTATATGTTCCGAATTTTTTTAATTTTTCAAAAGCTGAATTTTTCGATCTTTTTTCAACTATCTTCGAAAATTGCTTAGAGATTATTTTTTAAGATTTTGACCTAATTTTCGGGCTCAAGCTTGTAAAACTCTTACCATTTTTCCAGAATCACCCAAATTTTTTATCGATTTTTGGACCCTTTTTTCAAAAACTCAGTTTTTCCTCCTATGAAAATTTCGACCTTTCTCCAACCACCTTCGAAAATTACTCCCAGAGATTTTTTTAATAGGTTTCGACCTCCCGAATTTACTTTTGCGTTTATTTCTTGAATAAATCCTAAAACTTTTCCAAAATCGCCCATACGAGATATATCATATTTTATGATTTCTTAAAAAAATTAATTTCAAGCCTAATTTTTCCATACTCTTGTTCCGGGACCATAAAGAGGCTAAGTTTTTCCAATCAGTCTAAGGACTTAAAAAAGAAAATGAATTTCAAATCGAATATTTCTAAAAAAAATCTAAAATCTTGCTTCGGAATTATATAAAAATTTTTGTGAATTTTTGGATAACTTTTCCAAAAGCTCAATTTTTCCCTTATGAAAATCGAAAATCGCTTAAAAAAGTTTTTTAATTGAATTCGACCACAAGAAATTACTTACGGGCGCATTTTTTGCAAAACTCCTACCATTTCTCAGAATATTGAAAATTTCCTTTTTTCGACTATTTTTGAAAATTACCTAAAGAGATATTTTTATATGTTTTAACTTTACGATTTTACTTTCGGACTCATTTTTTGGAAGACACATATTTTTTCCCAGATTCGTCCATATGAGATATATAAAACTTTAGGGCTTTAAAAAAATGTAATTATTTTCAAACCGAATTTTTCAAAACTGTTGTTTTTCCATATTTTTGCTTTTGAGGACCACAAACAGGCAAAATTTTTCGAATCAGTAAATCAATATCTACATCCTACATTTTTAGAAACTTTTGATAAGCTCAATTGTTTCATTCAATCTCTTTTGAAACTTTCGACCTTTTTTCATTATTTTCAAAAATTACGCAAACAGATTTTTTTTTAATTTTAACTTTAAGAAGATACTTTCGGATTCATTTCTTGGAAAACCAAATATGTACAATTTTTTCGAGAAATTTTAAGGTTGTTTAAAAAAAAATAATATCAAAACGAATTTTTCGAAACTGGTGTTCCAGGACCATAAGTAGGCGATATTTTTTTAATCAGTACGTTGACATCTACATCCCAGATTTTTTGTGCATTTTTAGATAATTTTTTAAAAACTCAAGATTTTCATACTCGGCTCTATTGAAAATTTCACCTTTATTCGACCACATTTGAAAATTACGTAGACATTTTTTGATACATTTCAACCTCAAAATGGTACTTTCGGATTCATTCTATTAAATGAATTTTGAAACGAATTTTTCAAAAATCCTTGGTCCGAGACCATAAACAGGTTATATTTTTCAAATCAGTACGTCGAGATCAATGTCTCAGACTAGCTGAATCTGAATTTTTAGACAAATTTTTCAAAAGCTCAATTCTTTCATTCAATCTCTTTAGAAAATTTCGACATTTTTTCGATTATTTTCAAAAATTACCCAAACAGATTTTTTATAAATTTAACTTTAAGAAGATACTTTCGGATTCATTTCTTGGAAAACCAAATACAATTTTTTCTAGAAATTTTAAGGTTGTTTTAAAAAAATTAATATCCAACCGAATTTTTCGAAACTGGTGTTCCGGGTCCATAAGTAGGCGATATTTTTTTAATCAGTACGTTGCCATCCACATCCCAGATTTTTTGGGCGTTTTTAGATATTTTTTTAAAAACTCAGTATTTTCATACTCGTCTATTGAAAATTTTACTTTTATTAAACCGCCTTTAAGAATTAATTTGAGATTTTTTTTTATGCATTTCAGCCTCAAGATGGTTCTTTCGGATTAATTTTTTGGAAAGCTCTTACCATTTTTCCAGAATCGCCTATATGAGATACGACAAATTTTAAAATTCAAAATTAAATGAATTTTAAAACGAATTTTTCAAAAATCCTTGGTCCTAGTGCATAAAAAGGATATATTTTTCACATCAGCACGTCGAGATCTCTATCTCAGAATATTTTGTGAATTTTTAGACAAATTTTTCAAAACTCACATTTTTTTACAACGAAAACTTCGATCATTTTTCGGCTATTTTCTAAAATTGACAAAACAGCTTTTTTATCGATTTCGACCTCAAAAAGTTATTTGAACTCATTTCTTAGAAAATTCTTACCTTTTTTCCCGAGTCGACCTTATGAATATGCCAAATTTTAGTATTTAAAAAAATCAATTTCAAATCAAATTTTTCCAAACTCTTGCTCCAAGACCAAAAAACGCTATATTTTACGAATCACCACGTCCACAAGCCTATCCTAGAATTTTTTGTTAATTTTTTCTTTTTAGACATCTTTTTCAAAAGCTCAATTTTTGCATACTCTCCACCTCCTTATGAAAATTTTGATCTTTCTTCAACCACGCTCGAAAATTACTTAAATATTTTTTTTATAGATTTCGACCTCAGGAAGTTATTTTTGGTCATATAAGATATGCCAAATTTTAGGATCATCAAACCGGCTTTTTAACTACTCTTTCTCCGGGGCCACAAAGAGGCTACATTTCTCGAATCAGTAAATAAAAATAAATTTAAACACGCTATATTTTTCGAATCAACACGTCTAAATCTATATCTCAGAATTTTTTGTGAATTTTTAGACACATTTTTCAAAACTTCCATTTTTCCATTGATGAAAATTTCGATTTTTTTCGATTATCTTCGAAAATTGCTTAAAGAGATTTTTTTTATAGATTTAGTTTAGTTTATTACGGAAAACCCCTGAACAAGTTATTTTCGACGATTTTTCCAGAATAAACCCTGAAACTTTTCGAGAATCGCTGATAATAGAAATATAAAATTTTAGGATTTCTTAAAAAAGCAATTTCAAACCTAATTTTTCCATATTCTTGGTCCGGGGCCATAAAGAGACTAAATTTTTCGAATCGGAATGTCAGAATTTTTCTCAAAAGCGGATTTTTTTAGAAGACTTTCGAACTCATTTTTTGGAAAACATACTATTTTTCCAAAATCGACCCTACGATATATGTATGTCAAATTTTGGGATTTAAAAAAATCAATTTTAAAACTAATTTTTCGAAACTCTTATTCTCAAACCATAAATAAGCTACATTTTCCGAATCAGTACGTCAATAAACACATCCTAGATTTTTCGTGAATTTTTAGAGAACTTTTATAAAAACTTAATATTTTCATGCTTGTCCTTTTGAAAATTTCGACGTTCTTCAGACTATTTTCAAAAATTACCTCAACAGATTTTTTTTATAGATTTTAACTTAGTTAAATTTTCGGACTCATTTCTTGGAAAACTCATACCATTTTTCCAGAATTGCCCATATGATACATGTCAAATTTTAGAGTTAAAAAAACTGCAAACCGAATTTTTCGAAAGTCTTCTTCCTGGACTATAAACAGGCTACGTTTCGAATCAGTACATCGATATCTATATCTTAGAATTTTTATGTGGATTTTTAGATAGCTTTTTCAAAAGCTCAGTATTTTCGTACTTATTACACTTTTGAAAATCTCGACCTTTTTTCGACTATTTTTGACAATTACCTAAATAGATCTTTTATAGATTTTAACTTTAAGAAGTTGCTTTCGAATTCATTTCTCAAAGAACTTATACCATTTTCCCAGAATCGCTCATATGAGCTATGTCAAATTTTAGTACTAAAAAAAATCACTTCAGACCAAATTTTTTGTTCCGGAACCATAAACAGGCTGTATTTTTCAAAAGCTCAAAATTTTAATACTCCCCTTTTTGAAAATTTCGACCCTTTTTCTACTTCGAAAATTAGTTATAACATTTTTTTATAGCTTTTCACCTGAAGAAGTTAATGTCGGTCTCATTTCTTTGAAAACTCTTACCATTTTTCCAAAATCACTCATAAGAGATATGTCAAATTTTAAAGATTTGGATTTCAAAAAAAAAAAAATCAATTTTAAACAGAAAATCTCGGAACTCTTGCTTCGGGACCATAAATATGCTATATTTTTAGAATCAATACGTCGAGATCTACATCTCAAAATTTTTTGTGAATTCTCAGACAACTCTAAAAAACGCAATGTTTCCACATTCCCTCCGCTTTATGAAAATTTCGACCTTTTTTCAACCACATTCGAAAATTTTCTAAAGAATTTTTTTTATAGATTTTGACTTTAAGACGGTACCTTCGGACTCTTTTCTTGGAAAATTCCTACCATTTTTCCAAAATCGCCCCTAGGAGTTGCGTCAAATTTTAAGATTTCAAAAAACCCTATTTTAAAACTACTTTTTGGAAACTTTTGTTCCTGGGCCATAAACAAGCTATACTTTTCGAATCAGTACGTTGAGATCTATATTTCAAAATTTTTAGTAAATTTTCAGACAATTCTTTCAAAAGCATAATTTAAACTAAAGAGGTTTTCTATACTTCTTGACTTTATGAAGTTACTTTCGGATTCATTTCTTCAAAATTCTTTTTTTCCAAAATTACCCATATAAGATCTGTCAAATTTTAGGACTTTTTAAAAAAATCAATTTCAAACAGAAACGCTTTCTCCGAGGCGCTATATTTTTCGAATCCACACGTTTAAATCTGTATCTTAGAATTTTTGCTGGATTTTTAGCCACCTTTTTTTGTAAATTTAGATTTCTAGAAGTTACTTTCGGCCTCATTTTTTCGAAAACTTCTTCAATTTTTCCAGAATTGCCTAATTATAACCTAATTTTAAGACAAATATAAAATCATTTTAGGAAACCTGAAATCCACTACTGACTGATATTTTCTCTTACGTTAACTTTTTGTTTTATTAATGAAAAACGAACAAAATGTGTTTGTGGTACAGATTATTCAATACTTTTTTTTGAGATGATGTCATCACGTTTCCGGAATGAATGAATTAATAACAACAAACTTTAATTACGTAGTAACGTGTAATCCTAAATGAGGTTCAGTATTTTCCCAAAATTTCGTAGAATGGTTTTATGTAATCAATTAGGTAAACCACAAAGTTTGATAGTGTAAGTTTTTATTTAATTTTTTTATGACAAACATCACAAGCATTAAAAGAAGTAATAATTCGAAACCCAAAACACTTATTATACACACATATCTATAAAAAATTTAGTATGTCAGTAGTCAAATCCAACATGTAAGTATTTCAATATTGGTGAAATAAAACTGTACATTTATTTTACATACTACATAATAATCTTAAATTGCCACGGTTAGTAGCAATCACGATAAGATAAGCCTTAATTTGAATTCCACTCCAAAGTGCAACCCAAAAACAGCAATTTAAATAACAAGTGCGGCAAACTTTTCTGCATGCATAATTATATCAGGATCGGCCCGCAAAAATTCCACCTGTACCCGACTCTTACATAAAAACCATCAATAACCTCAATATCGGCATAAAGCACGAATTAGGAAGCCGTGCCTGCACCGCAAAAGCAATTACACTGCCGTCTGCTCGGACATAACATTTTTGCATAAATGTCAGAAAACAAGTTCACGTAGTGTTATCAAATTGATATACGGTCCAGGTTGGACCCTGTATTGCGTGCAATTACTTGTTTGGAACATGGGCAGGGCAGGTGAAAGGACTTGTGTAAGGAATCAGATGAAATTCTGATACATTTCTAAAAGAGATCAGTCGCGGAGAGCATACACATCTCTCTGCAACTTCTGCAGCTTCAGTCTCGGTTTCGACTAGTATCTAGTTGTTAGTGATAGTTCTCTGCTCAGTGTGAAGTGGACTTAAGAGAAATGCTGCTGCTGTCGGTGCAGGTGAGTGTGAATTTAACACAACCTTCACCTTGTATTTGCGGAGCGGATGGGTCGACGTATAATTGCGGTATTGTTTGTAAGACGAAATAATCAGAGAGAAGTTGGCGTTTTTTCGAAAATCGAAAAAATGGAAAATGGTTGGAGTCGGAGGCGCGGGTTTGTAGAAGAAATTGATGTTAGTAAAACTAAAATTAAAAAAAAGTAGAACAGCTGAAATAACATTCGTCGAGTTCTACTTGCATGTGTGTAAAATGTGTCCGATTCGGTGTCCGAAGAATAAAATTACGACGACGTGAAGAGGTAAAATGCGAAATTTACAACAGGAGTTTAATGTGGCACCGGCATTTTTTTTAATTTACATATATTGTAATTACAGTCACATAGTATGCCACATATTTTAATTGGAAAGTAATGACCACTTTTTATTTCAAAAACTTATTAATAAAATTTGGTTGTATCTTTTCGAATCGACAAGAAAATGTGCATATTTTATTTTGACATTACAGCATTTAAATTATCTGTGTTAATTGTGAACACAGGAATTTTTCCAAGAGAATTATTTTGTTACTCAAAGTATATAATATTATTTGCATGCAAGGATTTATGAAGAAGTGTATTTTTAATTTATTTTTTTACGTGATTCAATCAGTTATTGATGGAGGTAAATAATATATAAATTTCTATATAGTTTCTACATTTTTTGTAATCACTGCTAAAAATAAAACATATTAATGAAGCACAAAAAAGATCGAAACTCTGGAAGTACTTGTCAGAAAGTAATAATTTAATAATTTCTTCAGGTGACGCGTCATCAATGTTCTGGAATGAATACATAAACAATTTTGGTTAATTTTCTGTAAATGGTCAAACAATTGTATCAAAATTTTTGAAGAAGCTTGTGTAATCATTAAGATAAACTGCAAAATCTGTTAAAAATATTTACATAGCAGTATTTTGGGATAATGTTACCATGTTAATTTTTTGAAATTATGTTATAGTTAAAATTGTATGCATTGCAAAAATTATTTTGCGGACTCGAACAATTGTCCACCCCGGCTACGCCTCGCTAAAAAATCAAAGTCTTAAATGAAAGTTGTATTCTGGATACGAGTTATATGAATAACTGTTTATGTAATTATGTGGTTTTTATTTGAGGCCATTGCAGTTTTTCTGAACTAGTTATGTCAATTAAATTAAAACATTTTACATTAATACACAAAAAATTGTTTAAATTCCATAGATAACATTAATCATATTTTTTGTTAAAGTACATTTGATAACCAAGTCTAATTGTCTTCAGCAAAAGTTGATGTTTTTGTAAACACTGAACAAATTTTAAAATTAATACAGAAAAATTACGTATCTTGAGTGTTAAATTTAATTTTTTTTAATCCTTGAATAACCGTTTTTGCAGATTTTTTTTCGTAAATTTACTCTCAATGCTTGTTTTAGGAAATAAATGCAATTAAACAGACTTGCAAAAGGACAAAAATAATTTGTCAAAAAATAATCTCTGCTTACTTTTCGTCTTCAAATTTCAAAATTGTTCAACAATTTGATTTTAACTATTCTTAGATATTTATATAATTTTATCATTATATTCTTATGCATATATCATGTAAGTTCAGTGTTCTTTGCTTTTTTAAAAAGTACTGAAAAAGACGTAATATTCAGTAAATACGCGGCATAATATTTTCGTCTACGATCCTGTTTTCAGATATAATTAAATAGAACGCGTATATATTTTTTTAAATTAATTTATTTGTGTTAAAGTAATTTTGATGATGAAGTTCAACTGTCTTCAATAAAAGTCGATGTTTTCATCAGCAGTGAACAAGTTTCAAACTTAATAAAGAAAAATTAGGTATTTTCAATAATCTTTTTTTTATATTGATCTAATTGCTCAAATAATCGTTTACCAATTTGATGACTTTTAAATATATTTACATAAATCTTACAATCTATATCAAATATATCTCGAGATTTTTGAAATTTTAATTCATATTACACTCTAAACATTCTTTTTTTTTTTGTAAAATTGTTTTTTTTTTTTTTTGGTAAATTTAATCTCAATGCTTGTTTTAGGAAATAAATGCAATTAAACAGACTTGCAAAAGGACAATAATAATAATTTGTCAAAAAATAATCTCTACTTACTTTTCGTCCTCAAGTTTCAAAATTATTCTTCAATTTGATTTTAACTATTCTTAGATATTTATATAATTTTATCATTATATTCTTATGCATATATCATGTAAGTTCAGTGTTCTTTGCTTTTTTAAAAAGTACTGAAAAAGACGTAATATTCAGTAAATACGCGGCATAATATTTTCGTCTACGATCCTGTTTTCAGATATAATTAAATAGAACGCGTATATATTTTTTTAAATTAATTTATTTGTGTTAAAGTAATTTTGATGATGAAGTTCAACTGTCTTCAATAAAAGTCGATGTTTTCATCAGCAGTGAACAAGTTTCAAACTTAATAAAGAAAAATTAGGTATTTTCAATAATCTTTTTTTTATATTGATCTAATTGCTCAAATAATCGTTTACCAATTTGATGACTTTTAAATATATTTACATAAATCTTACAATCTATATCAAATATATCTCGAGATTTTTGAAATTTTAATTCATATTACACTCTAAACATTCTTTTTTTTTTGTAAAATTGTTTTTTTTTTTTTTTGGTAAATTTAATCTCAATGCTTGTTTTAGGAAATAAATGCAATTAAACAGACTTGCAAAAGGACAATAATAATAATTTGTCAAAAAATAATCTCTACTTACTTTTCGTCCTCAAGTTTCAAAATTATTCTTCAATTTGATTTTAACTATTCTTAGATATTTATATAATTTTATCATTATATTCGTATGCATATATTTATAAGTTTAGTCTTCTTTGTTTTTTTTAAATATTACTGAAGAAGACGTAATATCCAGTAAATAATCGTCATAATATTTTCGTCTACGATCCTGTTTTCAGATATAATTAAATAGAACGCGTATATATTTTTTTAAATTAATTTATTTGTGTTAAATTAATTGTGATGATGAAGTTCAACTGTTTTCAATAAAAGTCGATGTTTTCATCAGCAGTGAACAAGTTTTAAACTTAATACAGAAAAATTAGGTATTTTCAATAATCTTTTTTTTTATATTGATCTAATTGCTCAAATAATCGTTTTCCAATTTGATGACTTTTAACAAAAATATATTTACATAAATCTTACAATCTATATCAAATATATTATGAGATTCTTGAAATTTTAATTCATATTACACTTTAAACATCCTTTTTTTTGTAAAAATGTTTTTTTTTTTTTGATAAATTAAATCTCAATGCTTGTTTTAGGAAATAAATGCAATTAAACAGACTTGTAAAAGGACAATAATAATTTGTCAAAAAATACTTTCTGCTTACTTTTCGTCCTCAAGTTTCAAAATTATTCAACAATTTGATTTTGACTATTCTTAGATATTTATATAATTTTATCATTATATTCTTATGCATATATCATATAAGTTCAGTGTTCTTTGCTTTTTTAAATATTACTTAAGAAGACGTAATATCCAGTAAATAATGGTCAATATATTTTCGTCTACGATCCTGTTTTCAGATATAATTAAATTGAACGCGTATATATTTTTTTAAATTAATTTATTTGTGTTAAAGTAATTTTGATGATGAAGTTCAATTGTCTTCAATAAAAGTCGATGTTTTCATCAGCAGTGAACAAGTTTTAAACTTAATACAGAAAAATTAGGTATTTTCAATAATCTTTTTTTATATTGATCTAATTGCTCAAATAATCGTTTGCCAAATTGATGACTTTTAACAAAAATATATTTACATAAATCTTACAATCTATATCAAATATATTATGAGATTCTTGTAATTTGTCAAAAAATACTCTCTGCTTACTTTTCGTCCTCAAGTTTCAAAATTATTCAACAATTTGATTTTGACCATTCTTAGATATTTATATAATTTTATATTATATTCTTACGCATATATCATGTAAGTTCAGTGTTCTTTGCTTTTTTAAATATTACTGAAGAAGACGTAATATCCAGTAAATAATCGTCAATATATTTTCGTCTACGATCCTGTTTTCAGAGATAATTAAATAGAACGCGTATATATTTTTTTAAATTAATTTATTTGTGTTAAAGTAATTTTGATGATGAAGTTCAACTGTCTTCAATAAAAGTCGATGTTTTCATCAGCAGTGAACAAATTTTAAACTTAATACAGAAAAATTAGGTATTTTCAATAGTATTTTTTTATATTGATCTAATTGCTCAAATAATCGTTTGCCAAATTGATGACTTTTAACAAAAATATATTTACATAAATCTTACAGTCTATATCAAATATATTACGAGTTTATGGAAATTTTAATTAAAATTATACTTTAAGCATCCTTTTTTTTGCAAACTTGTTTTTTTTTTTGGTAAATTTAATCTCAATGCTTGTTTTAGGAAATAAATGTAATTAAACAGACTTGCAAAAAGACAATAATAATTTGTCAAAAAATAATCTCTGCTTACTTTTCGTCCTCAAGTTTCAAAATTATTCAACAATTTGATTTTTACTATTCTTAGATATTTATATAATTCTATTATTATATTCTTATGCATATATCATATAAGTTCAATGTTCTTTGCTTTTTTAAATATTACTGAAGAAGACGTAATATACAGTAAAAAATCGTCAATATATTTTCGTCTACGATCCTGTTTTCGGATATAATTAAATAGAACACGTATATATTTTCTTAAATTAATTTATTCGTGTTAAAGTAATTTTGATAATGAAGTTCAACTCTCTTCAATAAAAGTCGATGTTTTCGTCGAGAATGAACAAGTTTTAAAATTAATACACAAAAATTACGTATTTTCAAAAATCAAAAATAATATAGATCTTTTTTTAGAATTTTATTTCGGTAAATTTGCTGTCGATGCTTATTTTAGGAGATAAATGAAATTAAACTG